TGTAGTATTAAGGATTCCAGAATCTTCCATCGCATAAAATACATAATAGAAGTAGTGGCTAACTGTACGGAATACATCTCTCCAAAGTCTCTCAATTCTCTGATTATGGGTCGATGGTCCAGCAATGAAACTGGCTCGACCTTCTCCCCGGGCTTCCACCATAGCTTCACACACCAATACATTTTCTACCCCGTGGTCTACTCGAATACGGGATGGCCACAGTTCTCCATCTTTCTCAGCAGCATCAAGAAACAGAGTTAAAACTGTGCTAGCTAGATTGTTTGAGCTGCAATGAAGATAAATTCTTCTTCTTGAGAAGCCATCAATGCATCCATGTATGACTAACCCCCATCTTATCAAAGAATGGTGTCCATCAAGATGCCACAGTGAGTTGGCCCACGGAACTTGATACCGTCTACGATAAACTGCAGCTCCCCATCTTAATGCAGCATTTTCTGGATCAATTCTGGCCATACTATTACGAACTCTTCTTCTTTGCAAATGTATACCACGGGAGCGAAGGTACCCCATTATCAACACTTCCCCAGTTGTTCTTCCATGACGACTTGTGTAATCTCTTAGTACTTCGTCAATTTCTGCATCAGATAAATTGCTAAATTCACTTAAATGAAGCAGGTTGTACTCTTGAATTCGTCTATATATTGTCCATCGTGAAACGCCATACATTTTTGCAATTTTTTCTTTACTGAAGCCTAAACCCAAAAGCTCTTCTAACATTTCAGGTTGTACATGAAATGCAGGTCTTCCAGGTCTTCTAGTATGCTCAACATTACAGCTTTGCATGGTGAGTGTTGTTGGTCTACGAGCAAGTTCCGACATATGGCTATGTAAGTTTTGTAATATAAATGTAAAGCAGCTTTCAATTGCGTGCCATTCTTGCCTGTCATCCTCGTCAACCTCTTGGCGTATCAATCCTAAAAGGCTTATGGTTCGATCAACAACAGTCAGACATGCCACTACTTCATTTATTTGTCTGCTGTTAGCATTTATTACAGCATCTGCCTGGTCGAGAACTGAATTTAAAAATAAAGGCAATTCTTCTTCCACGCTGAAATTATCAATCTCTGCCTCAAAATCGCCATATTCATGCCTAAGAATTTCGATTTCAGTTAAAGCAGCCATGTTGCACTCGCCGAGGGCAAGTATGGTAATTGTAGCCTGGGGACGAGCTAGACGGAACGTTGAATGTTTTTTGTTGAACGTTGAATGTTTTTTGTTGAACGTTGAATGTTTTTTGTTGAACGTTGAATTTTTTTGTTGAACGTTGAATGTTTTTTGTTGAACGTTGAATGTTTTTTGTTGAACGTTGAATGTTTTTTGTTGAACGTTGAATGTTTTTTGTTGAACGTTGAATGTTTTTTGTTGAACGTTGAATGGTTTTTGTTGAACGTTGAATTTTTTTGTTGAACGTTGAATGTTTTTTGTTGAACGTTGATTTTTTTTGTTGAACGTTGAATGTTTTTTGTTGAACGTTGATTTTTCTTGTTGAACGTTGAATGTTTTTTGTTGAACGTTGATTTTTTTTGTTGAACGTTGAATGTTTTTTGTTGAACGTTGAATGGTTTTTGTTGAACGTTGAATGTTTTTTGTTGAACGTTGATTTTTCTTGTTGAACGTTGAATGTTTTTTGTTGAACGTTGAATGTTTTTTGTTGAACGTTGAATGGTCTTTGTTGAACGTTGAATTTTTTTGTTGAACGTTGAATGTTTTTTGTTGAACGTTGAATGTTTTTTGTTAAACGTTGAATTTTTTTTGTTGAATGCGTTGTTGAATGTTAAATTTTATTGATCATTAAAGGTTGAAATTCGATTGGTTGAACATTGCTACAAATGGCTTGCCATAGCTGCACCGGTTGCTACAGCCCTGAGAAGTAATAAACCGAAAAACATTTACCGATTTGCTAAATGTTATCCAGTAAATGCCATAATTTTTAATAAATCAGTTTGTACTGACAATACAATTCTATAATATATATTATATACAAATCTATATTCTATATGTTATACTACCATTGCCGTAATTTTCCGAATGGCCAACCCGATTTACCGAAAATGTTACATCTAAAAAAGTTGAGGGTTAACCCCCCCCAATATCCTTCGCTACGTATACGACCCTGCTGCCTTTGCATTAATCTTTGAAGCTAGCCTCCAACCCCTTTTCACGGGCATGTTACTTGCCACGCGAGATTTGTGCGGAATGTTTTAAAAGGACTCGTAAGAAACATTCTAAGGATTTTTTTTGAACCCCCAGTAAAGTGTTAAATTTGTTATTAATGCAATCAAAATGGCTTGGATGGAAGGATAACGAGGCTGAATTGTTGACAACCAGCACGGGATGACAAAATGGCGCCGAATTTGGACAAAGTTGGTTTTACATTGTTGACTGTAAAACAGCTAGGATCCAGTGGCGTCACCAGTACGATAATTTGGAGAGGGGGGCGAATATTCATATATTTGTGTTCACAGACCATAAAAACAATAGATTTCAAAAGAAGTTAATAATGCAGAACACGAAGATATGAATATTCACCCCCCCCCAATTATCGAGCTGGCGGCGCCACTGCAAGGATGTAATTGAAACCTGGTAAAAACTCTTTTAATATGTCTGAGCTTGCTTATAAATTTGGAAGGACTTCGACGATTTCGGAGATACAGTGGCGAATTTGGCCAAATACATCCATTAAAGTGGCGAATTTGGCCAAATACATCCATTTGCAGGAGGTAGATACATTTCAAATTATTACTTCGGTCACAAAATATTATATACTTAATGTCTTTTTCCAAGGGAAATAGTTTGTTTTGTTTTTGAAACTTTGAGATTCGAAGGAAAACAAACTAACTGTTTCCCATTCTGCTATATAACCATTTTGTTAGTACATTGCATTTATCTGAAGTCACGTGATCAGAAATCAGCCAATCACGTTGGCTGTTCACCCCAGCCATATAACAATAATAATTGTACACTAAAGCAATGATAATATGCTGAATTAAGTGCCAATTTTGTTTCTATCAAAAATATTACGCAAAAAGGCAATTATGTCCACTGCTGTTTATCTGAAGCCACGAACTGACGTTTGACTATGAGTATGGCATGGTCATTTTTTTGTGAAATATCAGTGGTATGCATTTGACACATTCTAATGACCACCCCTAAAAGCAGGATCTCTGAGCCATATAGGCACCTCAGAATAGCCAAAACGTTTATGTATTGGTAGCTAGCACTTTGGCGAAAGCGTCGTTTTTGGGTGTGGTCAGTTTCGGACGTTTCGTCCCGGATTGGAGTTCGGGCAGCTTTATCATGTTGACCGTCATTGTCAACTTGCCCTAAACCAGTTGAGATTATTTGTCCTAAATGAAATGCATACAAACTTATATACAGGACTTCGACTATGTATTCGCAGATATCCCATTAATAACAAATAAAAATATATTTTTTTTAATTTTCAGTTATAGTTTTGCTGTTTTATTTTAAAACGCATGCGTCTGTTTTGACGTCATGGACCGCCGTTTCATTACGGGAAAATAATGGACCGCTGAATGTGGCTGTTTCAGACCGCAATTTCACCGGAACTGATGTTTGCCATATAATCCCCGAGCCGGCGGCGCGAAGCGCCGTGCGAGGGTACTAATTCCCCCCGGCTATTTACACCCGGGGAAACGAAAGCATTAGCGGAGTCTAAAGTTCATCAAATATCGCGGGCGCATGGTTCACCGTTCATGGGTGGTCATCCTCACTGACCTCAAAAATATGGCGGACTGTCATGAATAGCGGACACTGATTGGTCCAATTTAAAATTTGTTGTTGTGAGATGAACTGACGACTTCAACTGACAGATACTTCATGAAAATAATTTGCTTTTTGCACTGCAGTATTTTGTACGTTTGCAAAAAACTTTGACAGCTTTCAAAGCAATTTGCTCTATAAAGAGTTTAATAAAACAATTATGGTATCAAATACCAATTGAAAAGATATGGACTACTGTATGGAGCCAAATGAAGAGCGGCAAGGAAACGACAAGAAAGCCGAACGTCTCGCGAAAAGGAGGGAGCCAGCGAAGACGACAACGTTTGCTCGAGGAGACTGCTGAGGAAAGAGAAGCTCGCCTGGGAAAGCGTAGAGAAGCATGGAAAAAAAAGACTGCTGAAGCGAAAGGTATTAAAGCAAAGGCTTGTATTCACAACGCTATGTACCAATGATACTGTAGCTATACAAGTTTAAGTATGATATTCGACCCACTATATTCGACTATTTCTTCACAATTTTCCAATAAAGAGTTTGTCATGACACGCTCAAGTCAGTATAACCAGACTGTATTTTATTTATATCAGTTATCAAATACCGTCGGTGGCAACTAAGGGTGAACAGTTGCAGATAAAACATTCTCTATTCTCATTAAAAAGCCTGTAAAAGTTTCCAGTAGGTCTCTAGCCCAACAAGTTCAGACAAAGTTTTGTTACTTATTTTTATTGCACACATGGGAAACAACAATTAAGTGTTGTTGTTCTTGACAAACATTGAAGATTCTAATCACGCGAATGTTTTTATGAGCGACTGTTCATCGTTAGTTGCAAACGACGGTACAACATACTATGAACATTTTTCCGACTGTGACCGAATGTGCAACGATATATTTTTCAAAGTTGTTAACAATTCCTAAAATTTGTTTATAGTAAAACAGCCTGCTCAGCACTCACTACTCACGATGATTTCATTTAGAAATGCAGTTACCAGGAAAGGAACTGATTCTAAAATATGTAAAGTTAAAAGCATTGGCTATTACGATGTGAAGACAAGGTACAAACTTTTATAGTTGCTATTTGTTATAAATCCTATAAATAAACCGATTCAACAATAATTTTGCCTCGAATTTGCATATTCTATGCTGCATGTTTATATTTTATTTTTATAGTATAAAAATAAAATTGTAATACTATGAAATAAAATACATTTCTGTTTATTGACCAGTACTTATTTAATGTCTTCTTCATCCAGCGGTCAGAGTAAATTTCTACTTCTAGCAAGTAAATATTTGACAAGCAGTCTGGAATAAGCACAGGACTTTTAATGCATCAGCCAAATCCAAGTGTGCCCATCCCCCTTGCCCAGCCATTTTCCTGTAACGCACATCCCGGGGGTTGGGCATTTCCACTCGAACCTTAGCCCCGGCAGGGCATTTGAAATTAATAATTTGGATTCTTGCACTTCACTTGTGGAATTAATATTAGAATGTTAGGGTTTGTAATCCAAGTGAGAATATATACATGTATATATTTTGTAATCCAAGTGAGAATATTTTGTAATCCAAGTGAGAATATACAAATGTACCGGTATATAGTACATGTATATATTTGGTGTATATATTTTGTAATCCAAATGAGAATAGTTTGTAATCCAAGTGAGAATATGCAAATGTATATATTCTCACTTGGATTACAAACCCTAACATTCTAATTTTAATTCCACCAAGTGAAGTGCAAGAATCCAAATTATTGAAGTCCACCTTATCACAACCCGCACACCCGATTACCTAAATATACATGAACTTACGGTTAAAGCTCGACAGCTGGTCTCTTGTAGCTCAGTTGGTTAGAGCGCTGCACCGGAATCGCAGGGCCGTAGGTTCAATTCCTACCAGAGGACCTTGTGCTGCATTTTTCGCAGTCGTTCCTTGTTAGGTCTTAAAATGTATATATTCTCACTTGGATTACAAACCCTAACATTCAAATATTAATCCCAACAAGTGAAGTGCAAGAATCCAAATTATTGAAGTCCACCTTATCATAACCCGCACACCCGATTACCTAAATATACATGAACTTATGGTTAAAGCTCAACAGCTGGCCAAGCTGTAGCTCAGTTGGTTAGAGCGCTGCACCGGAATCGCAGGGCCGTAGGTTCAATTCCTACCAGAGGACCTTGTGCTGCATTTTTCGCAGTCGATCCTGGTTAGGTCTTAAAATGTATATATTCTCACTTGGATTACAAACCCTAACATTCTAATATTAAGTCCACCAAGTGAAGTGCAAGAATCCAAATTATTGAAGTCCACCTTATCATAATCCGCACACCCGATTACTTAAATATACATGAACTTACGGTTAAAGCTCAACAGCTGACCTCTGTAGCTCAGTTGGTTAGAGCGCTGCACCGGAATCGCAGGGCCGTAGGTTCAATTCCTACCAGAGGACCTTGTGCTGCATTTTTCGCAGTCGTTCCTGGTTAGGTCTTAAAATGTATATATTCTCACTTGGATTACAAACCCTAACATTCTAATATTAATTCCACCAAGTGAAGTGCAAGAATCCAAATTATTGAAGTCCACCTTATCATAACCCGCACACCCGATTACTTAAATATACATGAACTTAAGGTTAAAGCTCAACAGCTGGCCCCTGTAGCTCAGTTGGTTAGAGCGCTGCACCGGAATCGCAGGGCCGTAGGTTCAATTCCTACCAGAGGACCTTGTGCTGCATTTTTCGCAGTCGTTCCTGGTTAGGTCTTAAAATGTATATATTCTCACTTAAAATGTATATATTACAAACCCTAACATTCTAACATTTGAAATTAAGGATAATTTGGAGGTTTTGCGATCACCGACAACTTGATAATTTTATAAAACAAAACACTTCTATCTCCAACTTTTACAATCACTGATAAATTGATAATAATTTAAACCAGTCTAGCTGTAGTTTAAATAGAGAATAATACATGGGTGCACGAAATGCCAGATTTATTTCGAGTGTTGAACATGAGTGTGCAGCGAACAAGTGAGCGCAGCGAACGAGTGAGATGTCAATGTTCAACACAAAAAATAAATCTGGTATTTCCAACCACCCATGTATTTTTCTGTTTATTATATAAAGAACAGTCTTAAATGAAAAGCGATAATGTTTACAGAAAAGCGATAATTGAAAAGGCGATAAATTTTTACATGTGAGATTATCATGAATAATTTCACATCTGAGATTATCATTTTTGTCAGTGCTCGAAAACTCTGCAAAACACTATACTTTATATAATAAAAATTCATAAATTTGAACCATGCTAGAGCATGACAACAGCAAAATGCTCTATAGTATGATGCACAATATTTTGGGAGGTGATCGAAATACACGAACAATAAATCAGAGAGTGTTTGCTTGGAACTCACTGGGGGGGGGGGGCAACACCCCTGATTATTGCTCATGATGAATTTCAGGTAGATTTCCAGTGCACTTTTAGTACGTACATTTAAGTAGATTTGCAGAAGATTTTCAGGAGAATTCAGGTAATTCTCAGGACATGACTGAGAAAGTGAATTTGGAAAACAACTGTATTAAATTTCGGAAAAATTATTATATGTCCTGAAAATTTTTTGTACATCTGGAAACTTTTTGGTAACCCCCCCCCCCACCCCCTGCGACGAAGTGCTCGCAACGGCACTTAGTATATATCTTTTGAAAACAGGCGAGGGGTTATTGCATGCATGTATTTCTAGTAATAGAATATAATCTTTAGTATATTCTGAAGTTCTTGCATAACTACTGATTTTCTTGCGTTTTGCGTGGTGTTCTAATTGTATTGTATTTAGAAGCCCTTTTCCCGGAGGTGTTAGTAAAATATCCATATAGGGTTATTTTACAAGCTAGTTTCGTAATTGGTTGAAATATACATATCTTCATTATTAGCGTGTCCATGCTCGGCATGTGTTGGAGTCAGCAGATTTTTATGCGTGTCTATGTGTTCCCTGCCCAAGTCTGCAGAATGCAGTTCACGTAGCTCGTGTGGTAACAACTGCGTTGATAAAGCTCTGCTCATGATAGGACTGTTATTAGGATTTGTCAGGGCAGTCGAACTCTCCTTTCTTCGAATGGATTCCATTTTCTGGCGGTTTCCTTTCCTCTTCTTGTAAAATTTAATTATCCCTCTTCTGAACAATGGATTGAAAAGAGCGTACAAAAATGGATTTATTACCGCATTAATGTACGGCAATGTGATTGCCAGGATAATGAAATAAAAAGGCGGCCTGTTTCGTAAAAACAGACGCCCCCATATTAATACAAAAACTGGAGTCCAACATATTACGAACACGATAATAAAAACACTGATACGCCAGGCAGTTTTAGCGTCTGACATTCTTATACTTGTCGTACCGCCGTCAATTCGACGCTCTTGCTTGCGGATACTCTTTGCATGCCTGTGTGCTACGACGAATATACTCATATAAGAAATAAGGATGGCTAAGACAGGCAGAATATAAATGAAGATGGATATAAAGATAATGTAAGGGAGATTGTTTGGATTTGTTCCTCTTAATAAAGACATACTTCCAACTAAGACGGCTGCGATCCACCCGAGTAGGATGACGATTTTTAACCTGAAGGCAGTCACATTATTTGTGTACCAAAAAGGAGAACCGATTTTCAGTGCTCTTTCTATGCTCAGAAGGGCACAGTTAAATATCGATGCGGAACAGCATAAGATGTCGACACTTTGGTGATAATAATGTAGCTTCAGGTTAGGACTTGAGTTTGCTATCCATAAGGGCATTGATATAATTCCAACCACAAGATCTGCACATGCAAGACTTACGACGAACATGTTCGCGTGGTTTCGTATTGACTTCTCGACAAGAAAAACGGTGATAATAATACTGTTGCAAACTATACATGCGATTACTAAGATTACAATGAAACCAAGAAAACTCCATTGCAGCTCGGGATCGGAAGGTTTACTCGGATATGTAGTATTATTGACCATTATCATTACTTTTCCTTGGGAGCTTCTTAACTGTTCATATATGTTTTGAATTACGTTCACTCTGATAAGGCCTTCTTTGCTTGATTTCTTATCTCTGTCTCAGATCTAAAATTAAAAGAAAAATTGCACTGATAGCTTGAAATTTAATTCGCAATTTATAAAAATTTAATGAGCCGTAAAGAAATGTAAGAATTCTGTTAACGAATATAATTTGCCTATTCAACCACTATACATAATATTAAAATTAACTTAATTTAACAGAAAATTCATTAAGAATGTATAGCATGCTGCGCGGTTGGCTTCTGTAGAGGAATTCGGTGAAGTAAGCAGCTAGGTTCGATCATTCCAGTGTAATACAACATACATATAATGCAAAAAACGCCGAGCCTGCTGCTCAACAGGATTGAACAATGTTTATTTTGCTGCCGACGTTGTTCACACTTGTCAACAATATTGAACAATATTGTTGAGCCTGAATCGGGTGTAACAATATTGTTTAATATTGTTGACAACTGTGAACAATGTGGGCAGAAAACCTTGTTCAATCCTGTTTTCATCAGTATTGCAACAACCTGATCGTTTTTTCCGTGTAGCTAATGTAGATAAATATTATTAATCTTTCGTAATTGCTCATCAGCACATCAGCTTATTCAGAAATTAAAAAACAAACTTTTTAGAAATGAAAATTCATGTGGTTGCGGTTGACCACATGTCAGCTGATAATATTCTTAAAATATATAGAATTTTTTTGAAATACTTCATGTTATGTTCGTCTATGGAATTTTATGGAAATCTAAAAACAAATTTCGGATTTTTTTTTTGCAATTTAAGGAACGCTTATATTTGGTTGTGAGAAACCTGTTTTTAAGAATAGAAAGCGTCTAACACATGTTCGGCCTGCCATAAATGAAGTTATGAAACGTATGTTATATATGCTCAACTACACATAAGTATTGTCGGTAAACATGCAACTTAATTTGTGAACATCAATGCGGTTTCCAAACGTTTTACTCAACTACATCAACCTTACTTCATTATTCAAACGATTGGTACATAAATATGGATAAAAAATTGTTAAAGAATCATTGTCAACCACAATGCATTGTGCGCCTAAACCTGCTTGGCAACCATTTTAATGGCGGAATAATAGATGTTTTGGTTTTCAATCCATAATATATATTACTACCATCCTATGGTTATACTTGCTCACTTTAACCTTTTTTTGTACTAAAATTGTAGCAAAGAAATGTTTATAATCGACATTTGTTCCTATTTGTCACCTCTGATGGTAAGATGTAAACAAATGCATTGTGATTGATAATGACTCTTTAAATTTGCTCCTATTCATGAACTTAAAAACAGGCTTTGATATGATACTGTCAACAGTTAAATATTTCAACATAATCTAGCTATTACTGTGTGGAATGATGTCAGTAAACTAAATTAAAACCTTTGAGAATGATTCAACATTAAGATATTCTTATGTGAGATATAAGCCTGCGTAGCAGGCGGTATTCGCGGGCACGAGAGAATGGGAAGCTAGAAATACCGCCTGCCCAAAAACTACACATTCTGATTCTCCCCGGCAGCTGGGTGCCGGAGCATTCTGATTGGTCAGAATGTTGATTTTTGAATTTTTGATTGACAGGAGTAAAGAATTAGAATAATTAGTGCCAATTTTAGAAGTTACTGTTGCCGTATTTATAATATAAACTATTGTTATTTTCGTAATTGATACCGATATATCGAGTGATGGCATACACTAACCAAAAAATAACGAATGTATTAATTGAGAATTAAGCGTTAAATTCTTTAATCTTTATCTGGAATCTGAAATCGCTTCGTCTTGATGAATTAACAACGAATATCAATCCAACATTTGTTGCTTGATAGATGTGATACCGTGATAAAAGTGCAGATTTGAATATACAGACTCGTAAATGACACTCTAAATAGAGTTTTTAATAGCGATTGGAACAAGACTATTGCAAAGTTACGGCCGAAGTTATGTTCGGCGAAAGGTATGGCTAGTCTATATTTATATTGTTCAGACAATTGCGTAATTTGATAATACACGATCTCCCTTGACTTTCAAAGCTCATAAATCGCTATAATGTTGACATCGACTAAAACTATCGCTATGAACGAGGACATATTGTTACAATGAATCGAACGTGGTATTTTTGTCTTCATAGCATTGAATGAACCGAAGATATGAAACGTCAAAGCCGTATATTTGTGAGTTTGACAAATAATTAAAATAAATACACATTAAGATGGGCGGGACCATGCGTTCCGTGGGCGGAACTCAAAATGTGTAGTTTTTGGGCAGACGATATGTCTAGCTTCTACCGCCTGTTACGCAGGCTAGTGAAATATCTTCTATGACAATGATAGTAAGATACAGTGTTTGTAATTCTCACAGACACCTTGTTATTGTAAACTCAACCAGGCGAAGCCGAGTTGACTATTCCCTCAGAGACAACGAGGTTGAGTTGTCTAATTGTTTTAGTATAAACCACAAAAAGAAAACTAAATTTTTAACTTGATTTTTATGTAAAATAATAACTTTTTAACGAAATCACCATTGAAATGGCTTCCTTTGCCAGAGCCTTTGGCGACATTTCGTCTCGACCTTGTTGACCACCACTTAGTTTGTGAATTCCCAAGAATGACTTGAAAAATACTATTTGTGAGTTTTAAAAAAGTTAAAAAAACATGTCGTAAAACAGTATAATAGTAAGGGGTCGTTAATAACTCGTTATACAAGCAAAGTTTGGCCAATTAAAAGAAGGAAACAAGGCTTAAAATGGCCAAAATTTCAAACACAGAATGGTTTCCCGAATTTGTTACTAAATAATGTTTACGTTAAAAAGCAGAATAAAAATGCACGCAAAAGAACACGAATGTCGTTAAAATCTTTAAAATATCTGGCAAAATAAAGAGGCAAACCATTTCCTTAATCTAGTATGTATATACAAAAGTTTAGATTAAAATGTAATCGAAAAACTCGATTACAAAGAGACTCAAAAAAGGGGAAAACAAACTCGACCAAAATCTTGACATTCGAACGAAAAATAACTTTAAAATTTAACCGTATGTCAGCAGTTCAAAGAATCTTTGTTTATGTGTAACCCAGAACCAAAATAGGCCATTTTGATAAGCTTTTCCCCTTTAAATGCAGCTTTTAACACTTAAAAATGGCAATTGATTCTCCCACCCTCCGCCGCTTGTTGCTATCACTAATAGCCTAGTAGTAGCGTAGCCAATCAGAACGCAAAAAATATGATAGCCTACTAGTATCAGGGGCGGATCCAGCTCCTGAGCTGACTGATGCATACATAAGACCTCGCATTTGTAGGGGGGTCCCGGGGCCCCGGGAAATTTTGAAATCTAGGACCTCGGAAATTCGATATCCTGCGCATGTGATCTGAACGAACTCTTTTGTTCCAATTCATATATCAGAATCACAAAAATTTTGCTGCATTTTTGTAAAAACACGTGAAAAACTTGAACTTATATCGCAAAAACAACATAATTTCTCCATATAAGAAAAAATAATTTGCTTGTACAAGTGTAGCAATAAATCGCTATTAAAAAATAGTTAGTACTGTGCTTCTTGTAGCCTTAAATTTTCTATTGAAAAATATTTCGGCAAAAAAACATGACAACGCAAATACACACAAACTGTGTAACAAAGGTGTATATAGTGTGCTCCACTAGTTGCATTGCTGGACTCAGAAGACAGTGTTATTATGTTGTTTATGAACCGCCTTCCCCAATGGACCTTTCACCTTTTGACTGAAATTTAGATTTCAACAAGTCTAGACAAAAATTTCATCACATCTTGAAAGAGCATCACAAAATTAGTAATATTCCAAAGTTTCGTTCCGAAATGTTGTAAAATGCGGATAATATAGCCCTGCGAAGTTTGCAATTTTCAGTCATTTTAGATTACAAACGGGAAAAACATACCCTTTTTCCGAAGGAGGTATGTATTTCCCGCGCGTAATACAAAATGACTGAAAATGACAAACTTCGCAAGGCTATATTATCCGCATTTTACAACATTTCGGAACGAAACTTCGGAATATTACTAATTTTGTGATGCTCTTTCAAGCTGTGATAAAATTTTTATCTAGACTTGTTGAAATCTAAATTTTAGTCAAA